GAAAGGACTTGTGTCTCTAAAGTTTCGTCGGAACGAATTTACGGAAAATTAACTAACGAACGGAGACGTAACAATATGTAGCGCGTCTAAAAACTTTCACCACTAGCTTTATTTAACTGTAACAAACACGAAGAACTGGCTACAGGAAGAAATAAATGTTTAAACTTGAAAAGGAAATCAGGGTAAGCTTCGAGAAAGAAGAAAATGATATAATAATACGTAGTAAGGAAAGATACAAGAAGCGTTAATATAACAAATACATGTAATAATAAAAACTAATGTAGATAACCTAATGACGTAATGTCGTACTACAATTGGAACTGTTATATTATTAATAATATCTTTAACTAATGGGAACTTAAACCATTGTTGGTCAGTGCACTAAAACTGTTTATTGTTACCATAAACAATGCCCAAAGGAATTAAAATATAGGCGTGCAAGTGTCTAAAAGCTCGTGAGATTCTGTAAAACTTCTAAGCCTATAATCTGTACCAAGAACGTTGTCGAATTTTGTTTGTTTTACGCAACAAAGGTAAGTTTATTAATCGATAGCCCTTATAGTGTTATGACGTTTGATTTATAAGGTGAATTTTCACAACTATTACACATATTTCTAGAACATTCTCTCTCTAATTTTTGTGATAAATTTCTCGTTATTGTGTGATTTTTCGAGATCCCCGTTAAGTTTATTTGTTTTTGACTGTCGTAGACCATGCTGTTGATGATGAACAAAGAAAGAAAAGATCCAGATATATGACAGATGATGAAATAAAAGCAAATGCCCTTATCGTCTTCCTTGCTGGGTAACTTCTTCAATTAACAAGTTTTTATTTTTTATTTATATCCGTAACTATTTCTTTTTTTGTTTGTTTGTGGTTAAGCACAAAGTTACACAATGAGTATCTGTGTTGTGCCTACCACGGGTATCGAAACCCAGTTTTTAGAGTTATGAGCCTTCAGACTTACCGCTGAGAGCCATTAGGAGGCTAACGTTTTTTGTTTTTCAGAATCTGTTCAAGTTTCACCTAATGTTTATATTAGAGCTCTATTTGTATATTCTGTGTCTAATTGCAGTTTTTCGAAAGTTTAACGTCTTTTTTTTTTAAATAATATATATTTTTAATTTTTTTCAGTCACACGTGATATGTTTTCCTTCTGCCATCCGGTAAGATGCACGTGTTGTTTTACACGACAATTCTTTAAGCTAAACTGCTAGGATTTTTAGTAAATATTTTCATGGTTTTATAACTGGAATATAAAGAAGCACATTTGTCTCACGATTTCTGTGAAATCTTCCACAGCTACGAAACAACCAGCTCCGCCTTGGCTTATACAACTTACTTACTGGCTAAACATCCAGAGGTTCAAAACCAAGTTCGTGAAGAATTGGATAATCATATGAACGACGAGGTTAGTTTAAACTGCTTTAAATGAACTCATTCATATCAGGTGCAAGTGTTGTTTAATTTCATTGTTATTGTCACAAACTGGTGATTAATGAAGTTTATTTTGTTTTAGATAAAAAAAATCTTTTTGAAGTTTATGTAGAGTTTAAGGATTTAAAAAAATATCAGAAATTTATACGAGTCAGTAAGATTATTTTTAGGAAAATAAATCCCTACTTACAGGATAACAGGAGGATAAACTCGCATGGATTCGCTTAGAACTTGATCCAGATACTGTAATCGGCCTAAAATTGAATAGTCAAGTTTGTTCTGGAAAATACATTACACACATGTGTAGGCACATAACAGGAATAATCTCTTGTACATCCAAAGTTCAGCATATAGTTAACATAGAAACGGCGTTTATAAAATACTGTACACACATGTGTAGGCACATAACAGGAATAATCTCTCGTACATCCAAAGTTCAGCATATAGTTAACAGAGAAACGGCGTTTATAAAATACTGTACACAGTGATCTCATGTCAAAGCTTTCTTGATGTGATTTATAAATTAACAGTAAAATAGTTTACTGTACCAGCTGAGACAAACAGTTAATCTAGAAAATGGGAATTAATAGTTAAGAAACCAACATTTACTTCCACGGAGCATGTACTCAAATCCAACATAAATCCAGGTTTCCATGGTAATTCTTAGGTAGCTGTTGATACTTTTCTTAATACCTACTTATTCTGCCTTTTTTATTATTCATCCATCACTTGTTTTTATCCACGATCCTCCCTTCTTTGTAGAAATGTGGTGTGCAATTTTGTTCTAAAAGAAAACAACAAATGTTATGTTTTTTGTTAGACAGAACACCTTTCAGCCGTTATTAGAATAAGTCTTCCTTTCAAACTGGTGTATTTAAAATTTTTACACTCACTTTAACTTGTTGTTAAACAAATGTTTAAACAACTATATATATTCGATTATGTACAAGCTGCCCAGTGTCGGCTAACAGTACGAAGAGTTAGATTGTGGCGGATTGCTACAAGGTCTTCAAATACCTATATAACGATAGGTATTTTTTTGTGAGTGTAAAACACGTAAATACACCAGTTTGATTTTCGATACCTCACTAGTATAAAGGCTTGGTTTGGTCAGATACTGCATTGGTGGTAGTGTTCAGGATCACTGATGAGGAGTAGAATTCTCCGAAACTAGTTTGGCTCATAGACACACCCCAATGAAAGAATAGACCATTCGAAGCTTTTACTTGTTCTTAAACAAATATTTAAACAACTCTACTTATTCAATTAAGTCTTCCTTTGTTAGCAACATCCTCCAAACGCTGGCGAGTGGTGTAATTTAAAAAAAAAGTTTCGTACCACATGATGTGCTCTCGGCCAATCACTACAAAGAATTCATGCAAAGGCGTAGAATAAAAAGATTGAATTTAATAGACAAACGTCTATGAGTATCATCAATTTTCTGTTCCATTCCGCACGAATGTTCGTGCTATGTTATTCATTAGTTTCTGTTGTGTAGGAATCGCTAGCAGTTCCAGGTGTCAAACAACAGCGCTCAGATATATTTCACAGAAGCCTAACTTTCCACGTCGAATTATTTGTTTAAAAGTGACGTGTCACGTTGAATAAAAAAGCACAATAATAATGTTTTCTACTGATCTTATTTTCTCAGTTTTATAAATCGCATGGTACAGTCACGCGTGAAATATGGGAACGTGACTATCCCTGAAGGAATTCAGATCCAAGTTCCTGTTTATCATCTTCATCATAGTTCTGAGTATTGGGACAATCCAGAAAAGTTTGATCCCACTAGGTTGGTGGTATTTTTTTTTTTTTTTGCTTTCTTTTTACTCATTATTTGTAAGCAAATATTTTATGTTTTTTTGCAGAAGTCGTTCTCAGATTTTAATAATAATAGTACAAAGTATATGTTTTCGAACTTCTGTTGGCAGATCTTAATTTATTGAATTAAACTTGGCTAATTATTACGCCCTCTATTGAAATTTTAAAAAAAGCCGTTGAAGGAAAAAATGAGGGAGGAAGATTTAATGATATTTCGCTAGCATACTGTTAGGTATATTTAATGTCCGGAGTTTTAAAAAACCTTTATTTTTTGTTTTCATAACATAGTTAAAATTAATGTTTGTAACTTATATTTTGGAAAGTACTATTAACAGGGAATAATTTTGTTATTAATGGAATGTAACACAAAAAAAAGGATTATTATTATTTTTTGCACATTAGCAAAAACAGTAGTTTACAAAAAAAAAGTTTTTAGAACATTTTACTTACCGTAGAGACCCCTAGTGGCATGAGTAGCTGTAACATATTTGATGATTTATGACTATCATTTAAAGAAAACTTTGTATTGAAGCTGTCATTGATTATAGAAGTCTGATGACAATGTACAGTATTTTTGTTTTACACTGTATGTGGTAAAAGCACTTATACATAAACATATAAATTGTATTTATGTTCATTGGGTCAGTTACAATAACACGTAAGTATAAAAATATTTGGAAATGGATTATTCACAAATAATGTAAACAATAATTAAAATCATAAAAAAAAAGAAATTGATGTTTTATTTTTAATGGCAGATTTTCTCCAGAAAATCGCTCTTCAATCAACCCGATGGTCTATCAAGCTTTTGGACAAGGACCACGAAACTGTATCGGAATAAGATTCGCTCAGATGGAGGCCAAACTGGCCCTTGCTAAATTGCTCTACTGGTTCGAGCTCACGTTAGACGAATCACCAGAGGTTAGAAGTCGTTAATACGAGTTGTTAGAATTATTTTAACTTTGCAACAGATTATAAGAATGTGTAAAGCACTCTTATTATCTATTTGAAATTGCGAAATTATCACGTCAGGGAGGAAGGGGTGTTAAACTCTTCAGCTGATGGGGACAAAGGCTAACGTAAGAAATATGCTCTAGAGGCTTAAGTAAAATATCAGTATTAGGCCTTCCTTAATATTAAAAGTGAAGGACCATTCTTAACGTATAAATAAAGTATTAGGCCTATCTTAAAATTAAAAATGGGGGATTAATGTTTTTATATAAATATCAGTGTTAGGCCTACTTTAAAATTAAAAATGGGGATTAATGTTTTTATATAAATATCAGTGTTAGGCCTATTTTAAAATTAAAAAGGAGAGATCAGTGTTCGTATGTTAGGCCTACTATAAAATTAAAACAAATGTGGGTCTATTGTTTCGTATTATTAATAATTATGTATTATTATTAGTATTAGTCCTACTTTAAAATTAAAAATGGGGCACCATTGAACTGTCATTCACTCGAGTCACCAGCTTCACGTAGTTTAAATAAATCTGTAGTTTAAAGCATAAGAAATAGAAATAAATCATCCCGGAATTAAATTGCAGGATTTAAAGCTATGTAAACATTTTATTTAAATAATCGTAGTTCATTATGCGTTCGTTGATAATTTGAAGTATATGTAACAATAAGTTAACAATGAAATTATAAATATTTTATATAGTGAAAGACTATATACAGTAGGTATAGTTTTCTGTTTTATATTTAAGCAAATAATATCACCTGATTGTGTAACAGGAAAAGAAACATTAAATATAAATATTAAGTATTTGGTAGTTTGGAAGAAGAAGTGGGTCAAACCTAACTTTAAAGACTTAACGATAACGGTATATATAGACCACTGGTACAGACGGGTGTATTTAGAACTACCGTATAGCCCATCAAAAATTATGTGGCAAGTACTACCACCCCCACCCCCATAGTATACCCTAACCTCACATTTGATAGCTAACTGAAATAGATAAATTTTGCAAAATCAAACTTGACCAACAAAGAGGCAGAAAAGTACAGTCGAGGCAATCAAACGTCGGTATATTCCACTATGAGCCAATCAAAACGTAGATCATTCATGAAATTAATTCGTGGCCTATTCATAGATTAATTATTGGTAAAAATCAGTTAGATTAACAACTTCTAATATATAGAAAAGCCAGTGCGTTTTGGTAACGCCACGTTTCAACAATGGCTTTTACGACATGTAGCTTTAGCAACAAGAGTATAACCTAAAATTGTTGTTAGTCTATGTACTGAAAGTATAAAATGACAAATATTTATTAATTTAGAGTCTACTTTGATTAAAGAGATTTATTTGTTTTTTTATTAAAAACGTTGGAGATATAACAGAAAATAGCTTAATTCAGAAACGTTATAATTTTAAAATTGAATCGATATTTTTACTTTCATGATAAATTTTATTTACTTGGCTCTAGGTTAGGTGATCCCACACTACGTCTTTATTTTAGGCTTATTATACCAATACTTACTACACTTATAAGGTTTCACGGAACGCTCCCTCACGGCCTCCTTGCACACAGTAATTGAACTATTCTATCTGGATAAATGCATTTTGTTTTTATGACTCCTATATCGAGAAATCAAGCGTGACGTGACACACACTAACTTTTATATAGGTTATAAGATCTGAAATGACTTGTACAAGAAATAACTTATTCTGTTTGTCTACATAATACATATTTATGTGTTTACGCACTATTTGTCTGGCAAAAGTATCGATATCAGTAACAGTATCCCGCTAAGTTTCTGGCGATGACCGATTGTAAATGAAAATATTGTTGCGTCAGCGAGGTCACGTGACTAGTATCACGCCACGCCCTTCTAGAAATATCCTGTTCCTTCATGAATGCTCTAGCGTTTACTAGATATGTGTTATTCTTGTATATATAAGACGGTCACAACGTGACGGAACGATGTGTGTGTAATTGAACTGAATATTGTTGTGCACGTGAGACGTTCGTTGAGAATTATAGCGTTGGTTATAGCGCGACTGTTGAAATTAAGTGTATCGCAAAGTTATATTCAGAAAGAATAAACCAGTTTTATTTAAGAAATGACTTGTGTCCCTAAAGTTTCATCGGAACGAATTTACGGAAAATTAACTAACGAACGGAGACGTAACAATATCTTCAAGCGAAGAATATAAATAGTGACCACAATCATGACGCAACAGAGGTATTTTTTCTAAGGAGTGAGGAAATGTCAGAAAAGTTAAGAACTGTACAATATATATATATTTTTTTTTATATTCATTCCAAACTGAAATTATCTTTTAAACTCTCTACTTAATAAGATATTTAATAAAATGTACAAAACAGTTTATAAATCTATAAACATGTAAATTATATTAGATAGTTTATAATTATAATTCCGGTTAACCGCAGGAATTGTCACGATCTATTTGTCTGGTTAGCTAAAGAATAGCAATAACTTATAAATAAACACACATTCAGACTCGTTCACGTTTTAAATTTTCTGTTTCCTCGCACACAAGTCTGTGGTAGAGTATAAGTCAGGATTTGTGAAAATAACAATGTAAACTGTCGAATCAAGTTCAAGGAATCTATAGTTAGGCCTAACATCTTGGTTCTTTCTTCACAGGAAAAATTAAGTGTTCAAATCAACCAGCATACCTTGACCCCTGAAAAAGGCGTCTTCGTGAAAGCTATTCCCCGTCGTTGATTTGCTGCCGAAGTGAGCTATCTTGTAAAAGTTTCAAGTGCAAGAGAATAGGCCTGATTCTGTTTATGCTGAGAATGGGAAAAAATATGTATACTTATCGTATAGAGGTTACTGTTTTTTGGTCAATAATCGATATGTATTTTATATCTTGATTTGTTTCTTTGTAGTTAAGCGCAAAGATACACATTTGGCTCTCTGTGTTGTGCCCATCTTGTTAGGATTATAAGTCCGCAGACTTACCGCTGTGCAACAGAGGGGCGCTATTTTGATAATAAAATGTTATTTTTTACTAGCGAGTGACATGGTGTATTAAATGCTAGTTGGATTCCAAATAAACATGCTTTAATTAATGCTGAACTGTTTGACTTAGATAAAAGTGTTTTTCATTTTTATTTATTCGTATTTTGGTAACACGACGTTCGTCTCATCTATGAAGAAAAGTCAACAGTTAAAATATATTTAGTAATTATTTGTTTATTTAAAAATTACGGTTGAAAGCCGACAAACTATTAGAAACCAGTAGATCTAGAATTTTTTATACAAATCACGTGTTTTTTGTTTATTTAGTTATTTCAGATCAAAGAAAAGAAATACTAAATACATATTTACATACCACGAGTAGTCTACTGCCGCCCTGTTGTAATTTTATTCAATTACATCTTGAAATTCGTTTTTCAAAGTTAATAAACATTGATGTTTTTATATT